TCTTCACTTTTATTGTCATGTGAGATTCACGTACCCTCAATGCTCTTCTTATAATTAGTATAACTACAAAATCCTAATATGCACACTGTCCATTTTATTTTAGACACAATCTTTATACACTTTGAAAGTCCATCGTTACAGTGTGAACTTTCTAATGCCTATGTTTACTAAGACATAAGTATGTTTTCTCAACCCACAACAGAATCTCAGTTTTAGTGTATATTGATGATTTGGCTACAGCTAGTGTTAGGTAGAGAAAATAACAGATAAAATACAAACTTTTACCTTAAAAAGATTTTTGATATTAATTAAGAAAGTTCTAGAGGTTGTTCAATATGAAAACTTTAAATTGAAAAGAAGTATTTTTATTTTTAACAATGAAAATCTCTTTGCACTCAGACCTGTCAGACTGACCCTGTAGATTCACAGAAAATGTTTTTGTAAAAATATTTTATGACTAATATGATTTTTTTTATTCACAATACACTTGTAATCTTTACTAAAAGTAAAAACCTTACCAAATTTTTGAAGATACACAAAGTAAATTCGTAATAGTAAACACTGCTATGTATAGCTTCACAGAAATAGGGTTTGGTGTTAAACATCCTCATTATCTCAATAGAGTTGAAATATGTCAGATTTTATATCAGATTTATACTGAAAATGTATAACGCAGAAGATATGGCAACTTTAACATATGTATATTTTTATACCAGATTTATATTGAAAAAGAATAAAGCAGAAGATATGACGACTTTAACATAGGTCTGTCTTTATAACAGCTTTATACCGACACAGAAGGTATGGTGGTTTTAACATACGTCTGTTTTTATACCGGATTTATACTAAAAAAGAATAAAGCAGAAGATATGACGACTTTAACATAGGTCTGTCTTTATACCAGCTTTATACCGACATAGTATAACACAGAAGGTATGGTGGTTTTAACATACGTCTGTTTTTATACCGGATTTATATTAAAAAAGAATAAAGCAGAAGATATGGTAATTTTAACACATGTGTTCTTATACCAGATTTATACTGTTTATATAATGGCAACATGTATACCATTACCACAGCTCTTGACACTCACTAAGTGTCATTGGATGGGGAAAAAAAGTTTATGCTCATGGGTGTCTGCAGGGGGCAACAAGAGGGGGCACTTGCCCCCACCTGGAAAATGAGAAACATAATTCTTTCTTTATTCATTCAGTATACGTATGTGAATTTTTATTTTTTTATGGATGCCCATGTTTCTGCTATGTTACAAGTGTAAACACAAAAATATTGTATTAGGAAACAAACATATAATATGATTGTCATAATTTAATTGTGCCTTTTACTTTACCAGTATGAAACTGGTATAAAAATAGATGTGTTAAATGCATCATACCTTATGTGTTATACTATTATACTCTGTCATACTTTTTTCTTATAGCCATGGTTTCAAAGTTAAAAACTGTTATAACCTATAATTTCGAGCATCTATGAGCATAATGTTAGCTAATAAATAGCATTGAAGTTAGTCTTTAAAGGTGAAAAGTGGGTCATGATTACTTCATTTAATAATTATTGTATATGAAGGGGTTTATTATTATGATTAGTTCATACTTAATTTTCTCATTTGATGAATTATTAACAAACACTTTAATATAGTTATTACATCAGAAAAAGGGGAAAATTATCAAAGCAGACTGAGCAACATTTATAAAAATTGAACGTTCAGAATTAAAAGATGAATTATGCTAAAACTTTCTCAGTGAACTAAAAATTAAGGCTAATACATAAACAGATTAAAAAGTTCACAGCTGAGATTCAACTAATGTTATATAGTAATAAGTGATTTTAAATAATTTATCAAAATTGCACTTAGATTTATGGAAATAAAATTTTACCTATAAGCATTTTATTTGTACCTAACCAATTAACTGTGAATGATGGATATTTTCATCATTGAAGTTCTATGGCTCTGCTGTGAATGATGAAAATTACAGTTTTATTTTGATTGATGGCAACTCAGTTTTATCTGTGAGTCAGAAAACGGCAACTGAGCTGCTCCTGCCACAGTTAATGGGTTAATATTCTATCTCTTGTATTAGGCACTAGCACTAGACTGCATATAAGATAAATGATTTTTGAATGATCATTCAAGATTATGTTTAGATTTATGGAGAGAACATTTTGTTTAGAAATATTTCATCTTTTATTATCTAATGTTCTTATCTATTGTATTAGGCACTAGTACAAGGCTGTATTAGATAAACATGTCCTCACTATATCAGTGTGTATATAATTATCTATAGTACAATGAATTATGATTAGATTGTATAACATAAATAAACTGTAAATAAAAAACTAAAAGTATACTGTATTACATGCTATTCAGATTGTGCTGTATGAGTAGGTCATTACCTAATTTATTAGGTGCTAAAACATGTATTAGGTGTTTATACTAAGCTGGATATTATATATTTGTCTTTACATGTGTTACAACGTGCATATGTCTTTCTAGCATGTTAAATAAAATACAAAGTAGACAAAACATTGGATATTCATGTTCTTATGTGTTGTAAACAGATGTTCTTATCTACTGTATTAGGTGTAATAAGTAAGCTGTATTTTATATGCATATGTCCTTATCTAATGAACTTTAAAAAATTTAATTACCAAAGTCTTTGTTAAATATAATAATAACCATGTAGTTAACCAAGAAATTATAATTTTATGTAGATGTACTGATGTTGAAAAGGTGTATTAAAGTTTTTATTGGTGGTCAATCCTTTCATTGTTGTGTTGATCTTTAGAGAATAAATTTTCTTGTTAAATGCCAACTGAATTTGTTTGCTCCTTGTCAAAATTTCAATGAAGGAAATGGTATAATACTGACACTCTGAGTTTAAACACACTTACATTATATGTTAAAAAGGGTTAAAAAAAAAGGTCCACTTACAGAAACTGGTTTTATGTCAACCCTCTTGTTGTCAAGTGTCATTGCTGGAATGATAACAGTCATCTTCCTTGGGCCCTTAAACCCAAGCACATTTGTTTCCTGCAGACATCAGAATCTATCAGTATTTTAAATATGTACTCATTCAAAGCTAAGAAGTGAAACTTACCAAGTTATCATATTTCTGTTAGCTGTTAAGTAACACAAACAATAACTACAGCATTACATATAAACATGTTTATGTATGATGAAATAAAACAAGTCCATTAATCTTTTAACAAGACATTTCTCAAACTAATGTAATACTTCTGTACTTAATGTCTATATTCATATTTCAGCACTATGAGTCAGCAATATTCAGCTAGTTTTAAGGAAATGTTAAAGAATAGGAGAATAGATTTTCGACACTTTCTGAATATCTAAACTAAACATACTATTATATTAATTAAAAAAAAATTTCTATGTAATTATAGCAGTCCTTTCTCCCAAAGCAAAATGTAATTCATTCATTTTGTAAAATTTCAAAATATATTCTCCAAAAAGTACTAAAATATTCAAAAATAACAGAAGAAGAGTTGAAAAACCTTTCAAAACTCACACTTACATCCTACTACATTTTAAAGTGCCTTCTGAGAAAAGAAAGAAAACATTCCCACTTGAGTTACTCATAAATGCTTTAATTACACATAAATATATACTAGATCAGATGTTAAAAAAACTGCTTACATAAACAATGGCAGCAATTTCACAGCGCATGTTTGTTTTGTCACCAAAAATACTTCCTCTTTGTGGGTTGTCACCTCCATCAAAAACAGTGAACGAAGTACCCAAAAGATTAGACCTATAAAAAAAATATGAATGTAGTAATAAAGATATATATGCCGTACAAATCTATCATTAGTACATATAAAATATGTAATGTTTATGAAATAAATATTTTAAATTCTGCAAATTTTTCAATATATGAAGATACAACTCTTTTAATCAAAGTATTAACCCTGTCCATCTATTCACACTTAAGTTATGATTGTCTACATGTGTTTTTCTTTGTTTCCAATGGCTTAATAACATCAACAGTATGTTTTAGTGCAAAGTACACAATGGATTATCTACATTCTATTCACCATGGGAAATCGAACCTCAGATTTTAGCATTGTAAGTCTGTAAATCTATCACTAACCCACTGGTAGACCTTCAATTTAACTGTTATATTGAGAAACTGGGTTATGATATTTTTAATTCAACTGTATCTTGAATTATGCCACAGAAATTCAAAAATGTAGCTTCACGATGCAGCAAATTAAAAACAGAAGTAAATTCAAATTGATATATGAGTCCAAACATTACAGTTTATACTTAAAGCTATGATGGACCTCATGTTATGTGGTTTATTGGCTCATGGTTTCTTCTAAAAGAAGATAGAGACTGTGCTGTTTCTTTTCACAATCCTACTTTATTCTGTAACTCTGCTTGTTTTATGTTATGAAGCTAATTTTTAACTGATCAAAAAACCTGTAATTCTGATCAATTCTTAAGCATACCTCACCATTACAGCTAAATATCAAAGAAAATATAGCAATTAATGCTTACCATTTTTTTAATTGGTATGAG